CCATCCCGAAGTACCCCCGAAGCCCCGGTATCATCCCGAGACCCGAAGCGAGTCCCGGTATGTGTAGCTTATTGAACACACACATCATATTTACAAAATACAGAGATACAAAACAAACAAACATATAAACTATAATTGGTATAGTTTATGGAACATAAGTAATATCTTAACAAGTACAAGTTTTATCACAGTAACGAACATATAAACTATATTAGGTATAGTTTATGGAACATGTAAACATACATTCATTTCAAAGGATTTTCAGATATTCTACACTTAACCGTCGATATAGCTTTGTGAGATAACGTCTTCAAGTACTTATTTAAGTGCCAAAAAAAGTCTTGACCTTAATAACTAGAGTCTCCTGGAGGGAGAGCTTGAATTTGTGTATAGATCTATACGGGATTGACAACCCCGCACCCCGACTGTTAGCTACAGTTGGAACGGAAGTTCTGGGGTGACAAATCTCATGAGCGATTTTTCGACGCCTGAAGAACGTCGAGTCAGTCCATCCATCATATTATGTATGGTTATGAGAACTCACAATTTGGTATCAGTAGTACGATTAGTGTATGAATATATAAACAAACTTCACATAGTTTTATTATTTACAAAACTACAACAAAGGGATTTACGAACCAATAGGATCTAAAGGACTCTTATTGTTAATTCTAAGGTTTCTTGGTTTATACATCAGGGTTATCTATAGATAATATCCGATAGGTAGTGAGATGGGTGCTTTCCGCCTTACTTCCTGTCCCTTGTTTGGTTGTGAGCTTAGGGCAGAATCACTCAATCAACAGTCCGTTCGATCTTGGTGATATATAATTTGTATGCACTAAGTAATCATAAGAGGAAACAGATATGGGTCATACCAACGCGTACCTGTATAACATACCTTTTTCTAGATCAGAACTTAAAACTCTGGGATACATATATCAAAAGCAGTTTTATCAAATAACCGAATGACAAGTATACGAAACTAGCATACTTCAACATGCAAACATTTTGGTCTTAGGGTTTAAGACAAATTCTTAAGTAAATTAAGTATGGTATTTATACTTGAACTTTTCAGTTTGGAACATTAGAGACAACAATTCACTTTTATGGAGAATATAGGATTTTCTAGAGTCAATATCATTATTTTACAAGCAAACTGTTTACCATTTAACTTACGAACTATCATTGTTAATTCTATGATTCCTTGAGTTTATAAATCAAGGTTATTATATATGAAGAATATCTGATAGGCAGTGGAATGTGTGGTTTCCTCCTCATTTCCTATTCCTTGTTTGGTTGTGGGCTTAGGGCAGATCTACACATTCAACTGTCCGTTTGATATTAGTTTATAGATAAGTAGTATAAATTAAGTGGTTATAGAAGGAACTGGCATCATTCATCACATCAGAAAATATAGGATTTTTATGGAGGAAAACGTTTACATTTTGAAAGAACAAAGAACATACTTTCCAAAACAAAATGCTTATGAACTCACCAACTTTAATGTTGACACTCTTTCAAAAACCACTTGTATTTTCAGGACACTAGTAGACAGGTACTCGCACAGGTTTCGAGAAGACGGAACATAGTAGTCTCAAGTCTTTATCTTTGTTATTTACTTTTGAGTCAATCATATATGATTCGAATACAATGTAAACATTTTAATATCAATACAATGGTTGTTGTTGCTTTGATTACTATTATTCAATTGTTGTGATACTGTACATGACGTCCTCCGCCGACGAACGTTTCCGCCGTTCCGGTTTAGGGGTTTGACAACAACTTTCTTGCAGAATTATCACTCTAGCCCACTTAACGAGTTTCATGGTTAACTTGGTTAAATTTTTTGCAAAATCAGTCCTAAAAAGTTTAAATTTGGTTATTGAGATTTGCAAAAAATTACACCACATGGGTTTTTAACTTTATTTTGCGTTTATATATATATATATATATATATATATATATATTATATATATATATATATATATATATATATATACATTTTAATTTTCGGTTTTTTATATATACTTTATTTATTTTCATTTTCTAACTTTATTTTTCAACAATTTGATTTTTTTTTACCTTTTTACCTTTTGTTTTCTATTTTTTTAGTGTATATATAGATTATATTAGAGTATTTGTTTTAGTTTTTTTTTCATATTTTTTTTCGTATTATATTTTAATTTTTTCGTCTTTTTATTTTTTTAATTTTTTTCTTATTTGTTTTCAAATTATTATTATTATTATTATTTTTTTTGCGTTTTTAACTTTTCGTTGACCTTTTTTCAAAAAATGTAAAATATATTAATATATTAGAGTATATTATAATTTTAATAAGTTATAGTTTTTATTATTTTTTTATTTTTATTCAAATAAATAAAATAGTTATGTCTATATTTGTAATTTCGGTCCAACTTATTTATTATTTTTATTTTTTTGTTCTTTAGTGCTATTATATTTATGTCACGAAAAAATGAAATTAAAAAAAATTAGCTTGTTTATTGAGAAATAATGTTTTAATGTGTGATATAAGTTGTAAATTAAATCATATTTCTATATGTGATATCAATAGTTTAAATTGAAGATAATATTTCAATTTGATAACAGACTAAAAGAAAGAACAAAAAAATAATAATAATACTCGGTCTTTATAAAAAAAACTTCTTATAGTAATTTATATCTAATTCAAGTTCGTTTACTTTAATCAAAATAAATAAAAACATTAGAAAAACAATAAATAACTAAAATAAAAAAAATAGAAAACAAAAAGTAAAAAGGTAAAAAAATCAAATTGTTTAAAAATAAAATTAAAAAATAAAAATAAATAAAGTATATATAAAATAAATGTATATATATTTATAAAAAAAGAAATAAATAAAGTATACAAAAACAAAAAATAAAGTTAAAAAATCATGTGGTGTAATTTTTTCCAAATCTCAGGGACCAAACTTGAACTTTTTAGAACTGATTTTGCAAAAATTTAATGTCATAAAAACCCTCAAGTTTTAAGGGTTTTGTCGGTTTTGCCCAAAATTGAATTTTATGTCCGTTTTTACACTAACATTTTCAAAAAAATGTTCGGTTTTACCATTTTACCGGTGATAACAGGTTTTCCAGGTTACCATTATATTAAATTCGCGAAAAAAAAACCCTTAAGTTTACCGTTTTTTTTCATTTTTACCTTTAAATTTATAATTTTTTTTACACTTTTACCCTAAGTATATTTTTTCATAATATACGTATTCATGCAGAAAAATCGTATTTATATACGAATTTTTTTTTAATTAAATATTGTATTATATATATATATATATATATATATATATATATATAATATATATATATATAATATATATATATATATATATTTGTTTGTTTGTTGTGTGTGTGTTTTGCAAGGCTATACCATAAAAAGATAAATAATATTTTTAGAATTATGAATACAGTTTTATAGATATAGGTTTTAGAAGTATAAATACTATTTTTCCGTTTTTATATATTATATGAATCTATACTTCTAAAAATATTTATACTTTAAAAAAACCATATCAAAATACATCTTTACACTTTTAAAAATATATGTATATACTTATATAAACATGTTTATGATTGAACAAGTTTTTTTTATTGATATATAGATATATATATATATATATATAGATATATATATATATAAATATATAATATATATATATATATATATTTTTAAATACATAAAAATACGTATTTGTAGTTCTAAAACATTTAATTTGTTTTTTTTACATCTTAAATGGTTTATCCAAGAAACCCTCCCCCCCCCCCCCCCCACACAACCACACACAACACACACACACACACACACACACACACACACAAACATATATATATATATATCTATATATATATATATAAAAATAACATTAAGAACATGTAAATACAATATTTAATTAAAATTTTTTCGTATATAAATATGATTTTTCTGCAAGAATACGTATAATATGGAAAAAAATACATACGGTAAAAGTTCAAAAAAATTATAAACTTAAGGGTAAAAACATAAAAAACTATAAACTTAAGGGTTTTTTTCGAAGTTGATATAATGGTATCTGTTATCACTGGTAAAAGGGTAAAACCGAACATTTTTTGGAAAATATTATGGTAAAAACGGACATAAAATTCAACTTTGAGCAAAACCGACAAAACTTTAAAAACTTTGATGGTTTTTATGACATTAGCCCAAATAACAAAGTTAACAATGAAACTTGTTAAGTGGGCTAGAGTGATAATTCTGCAAAAAGGTTGTGGCTGTAGCAATAATAAAAAAAATATTAAGGTTTTTTCCAACTACGTGTTAAAAATTTAAGGCTTCTATAATATTATTCGTTTGTTCAATCGAAAAAAAAAAAAAAAAAAAAAAAAAAAAAAAAAAAAAAAAAAAAAAAAAGTAGTGCGTTCACAAAATTTGGTCGAATTGACGTGCTACAAGGGACCTACAAGTCTGATGATGTCATTTTATTCATCATCTACAACGTCATGAATTATAACTGTAACGCACTATATGATACTGATGTGAAATTCGTTCTTGTTAGACATACCCTTTATCTATCTTTTTAAAAAATTATTAGTACGTTCTAATTGTAATCTTTTAAAATAATAAAAACATAAATCATCTTTCCATATAATAAATGCATAACCAAGGTAAATAATAAAATCCTGCCCTTTGTATCACCAAAACTTGTATTAGATCACACTTTGATCGTGTTCATCACTCGTATAGATTATAATTACACTAAATAAGTAAATAGTTAAATAATACTAAAATCACCAATACTAGAGATAACTCTATAATTCCTAGATTCACACGGTTATAGCACCAAATACCAACGGAACCAATACCAATGAGCTCAAAGCCGTCAAATTATAAGTATCGCTACCACATATTATTGATATAGCTACCTTTAAAATTTCAAGATGTTATCATATTCACTTATATATATGCCTTATGTACAAAAAAAATCTCAAGTCCTATAAGTAAAAGACACTTGATGTAAAAAAACAATACCCTTTGGTTTCCGTCGTTTCTATTTTCGCAATATACTTCTGCTATGGTATTGCATAGCTTATACACCAACCTTTCTAATCAAATAAAGCTCAATTTAAGAAGCCTTAAAAGGTGGTGCAGTTCAAGAAAAATAGAGCACGGGCCTATAAATTGGAATGCCAATAAAGTAGGCAACTTATCTGTTGCAAGGATAAAAGATAAATCACTGACAAACTTATACACATATAAACAGAGATATCTCATGAGTACTCAAATGGAGAGATCGAAATCAGCGATACAGCCCCCAGTTTTGGGGAACTTGATTACAGTACTTAGCATTGATGGTGGTGGAGTTAGAGGTCTTATACCAGCTATTATCCTCGACTTTCTTGAGACTGAGCTTCAGGTACCACATGCTTCTTTTGATTTCTCTATATTCAACTCTTTTTTTCTTTTTTGTTTGAACTTGTATGATATCTTTGCCATCTTACAAATCTGATTTATGTTCTCAGAGAATAGATGGTGAAGACGCAAGAATAGCAGACTATTTTGATATAATTGCAGGGACAAGTACCGGTGGTCTCATCACTGCGATGTTAACGGCTCCAAATGAAGAAAAGCGCCCTTTGTTTGCGGCTAAGGACATCAAGAAATTCTATCTCCAGAAGTGCCCAAAGATCTTCCCTCAAGATCGGTAACAACTTCATGTAATTAGTTTGAATTTGGAAATTTTATGAGTTTAATCATCTAAAGATAACAGAATATTTATAACATTTCACCTTGCACAAGAGAATATAAAGGATTCGAGTAAAATGTTACAAAGTAAAATTCTCGGACTTTAAAAAGAAGATATTCTTCTTTCTTAGAAGAGAATAGAGTCTTTTTTAGAATTTAGACGACAAGTCTTTTTTAGAATAGAGTCTTCTTTCTTAGTAAAATTCTCTCTCTCTCTCTCTCTCTCTCTCTCCTCTCTCTCTCTCTCTCTCTCTCTCCTCTCTCTCTCTCTCTCTCTCTCTCTCTCTGTGTGTGTGTGTGTGTGTCTAAAGTATTCCAGTAAAATGTTACAAAGAAATGCAAATTTACAAACGAAATGAGTAATATTGACATGGTTTTGGTTTCTTGAAAAACAGCAATGTGTTGACAAAAATTGTCAAGAGCTTAACTGGACCACTATATGATGGGAAGTACCTTCACAACTCCATTAGGAAGAGGCTTGAAAACATCCGATTGGAAGATACATTAACTAATGTTGCTATTCCTACCTTTGACATCTCGACACTCCAGCCAACAATCTTTTCCAACTATGAGGTTTTAATTATCTTTTTCCTTTGTGTGATGTATTTGTTATATAAATCATACAACTAATGTTGATAGATTGTTGTTCATGTTAATAGATGAAGGAAAAGCCTTATTTGAATGCCTTGCTGTCGGATATTTGCATCGCAACATCAGCAGCACCTACTTATCTTCCACCGCATCATTTTGAAACCATTCATGAGGGACAGAAGCATGAGTTTAACCTAGTTGATGGTGGTGTGGCAGCAAATAATCCGGTTAGAATACTTATCAATTATAAATTTGTAACATATGGTCCATTTGTCTAACTACTTCACTTGTATGTTCATTTTCATTCACCATCCCAACATGTGTACATAAAAACCGACAAAAGGAATGAAAATATGATGAAACAAACCGAACTAATGAACGTGAGCCATTTGACCCTTAGAATTCATTTATGAAAACTTTTAAAATCCCAAGATCTAAGAATGTTGAAGGACAAAGATTCATTTAAATTTATCTGTAACTGGTTATCTCTTAGAATTAATATAGAGATTAATACTTTTTAAAAGAATTTCTCTACAAAATGGACATATTCTTACTCATCTTTTTCTTATGTTTTTAGACTCTTATTGCAATGGGAGAAATTGCTAAGCAACTCATTCGCAAAAATAGTGATTTTCACGTACCTCAAACCCTAGAGTATCGTAGATTTTTGGTTATATCTATCGGAACTGGGGAATGCAAAAAGAAATGGAAATATAGTGCCAAAGAGGCTTCAAAATGGGGCTTGTTAGGATGGTGGTTCAATGCCAATGGCTCTACTCCCCTACTTGATATTTTCACTCAATCTAGCACTGATATGGTTGATATCCACCTTTCTGTTGTCTTCAAAGCCCTTGACGTCGAACAAAATTACCTACGCATCCAGGTTTGTGTGTGACCTTTATGTTACAACTTCGAAACATTTGAATAAAAGTATAATAACACCAAAGGAACTACACTTAGAAATTTATATAAGAGTGAGTTGCTCAGGGGTATTTATAGCTTTAGTACGTTAGAATCTTGTAACTGCTAAAGATTAATTTTGTGATGATATATCAACAAAGTCTTATGAAACATAGGAGGATGGCTTAGAAAGGACATTGTCTTCACTTGATAGAGCTACCAAGGACAATTTGGAATATTTGATTGAAGCTGGTGAAGGCTTACTTAAAAAGAAAGTTTCAAGGGTGAACTTGGAAACCGGAAAGTTTGTCCCTTACAGCGAAAAAACTAATGAAGATGCTCTCAAAGAGTAAGCATCTTAATCAACTGCGCACTATTTGATGCATTTAATTACTCTGTGAGTGACTATTTGTTTTCTTGTATAGATTTGCAAAACAACTTTCATGTGAGAAGCACCTTCGTGACCTTAGATCGCCACGACCAATAAAAGCAAATCCAGAACCATGTATCATGTCCGAGACAAAGCCAAATTTTGGGGCTTTCGAAAAACCAAGCATTAATGTATAAAGGATATATAGGTTCAATTACTATATCACTTTGATGGTGAAGTAGGGCTAAGATTGCCTTACATATGATTTAGACTTTATACATATGTTAAGAGAAGTATGTAAGTGTTGCGTATATGATTTTGTAACTAAGTTTTGCGTATATGATTTTATAACTACCTCTGATCGAGGAAAGACTCTAGCTTGATATGGTGCACGTACATCGGTAATGATTATGTTTTGATTTTTGTTGTTTCTAATTTCTTGTTGGTTCATGAAAGCTGAAACTTAGGCTATCCGATGAATGAGTATTTCTGAGGTGTATGTCTATCTAAAATTGTTACGTATTCCGAACTGTTTGCTATTTCGTAGAGAAAACGTCAAGACAATGACTATTTTGGACTATTTTTTTACCTTATATAAAAGACCTAAGGGACAAGATCAACAACGATGTGATGTCAGATATCATGTTGTTGCTCTTCACTCTACGATGTATACCTTTGTCTATTTCTCTTATCTTACTCCTTGTCCTATAAATAGTGGTGTCAAACCTTGTATCAAACATACCTTTTACCAATTCAAGAATCACATCTTTCATGCTCTCGAAAACATTCACTGCGTATTTACTTATATTCACTGTTTAACCTTTCTATTGAATACTTGGTTAGTATCCTTCTAGGCTTGACCGGATATATTCCATACTTGAGTGGAAATCATTATCAACCTTTATTGTTGTTGTTTACTCAAAATTTCATACCTTGTCTAGGAATATCTTCAGGATATTTTTATTCCTTCAATTGTTATTAAAGTTTGAGTGGTTGTGCTTTGAATCCACAAGATCAAATTATCACTGATTTAGAATAAATTGGTTTCTTTATCATTTCATAATCAGGATAAAGGTTCTTCTATATACCATTTGTGCTCAAAACAACACAACAATGGTTTCTCCTAATCCAAATCAACTATTGTACTCATGCAAATTGCAAACAATGTGGTTTATAGAATCATGGCCACAAAATTTGCTACAAAGATATGGCTACAGAAGTTGCTATTGATCCACTACAACGAGATTTTTGACGAAATTATTGCAATTGGATTAGTTATACAAAGAGGACTACATAATTTGCAATTGACGCATATCTACAGAATTCCTAAAGAAATAAGTTTATGGAAAGCTCGACAGAATACCCTCTACTACGAACTTCATTATGGTGTCACCTTTGTAATAGAATTACAGTTTCCATTGTATACACTTCGCTTAGCGTTTTTTGGATATAAATGGGCCGTTGCAAATTCCATAGTTATTCGTATTTTGCAACGAAATTTCAGCCTTTTGCAACGGATTCCCTCCATAGTAAAATCGACTTTTTCTTGTAGTGTTACACGAAAGGAAGAAGGGAAAGTAGAGCTACAAACTTTGAAATTGTCAGCCTTATATGAGACAGTTTACTTGCAAAAAACCAACTTGTTCTTAATAGTAGTGCATCCTTTAAATACGATGTACTAAAATCAAGCATTCAATAAATGTAGGAATGACACAGCTTATGATAAGTATTGAGCTTATAATGGAAGACTACAAGCAACACTTTGCTTATCTCCATACCTACGACTTTCACAAGCCAAAAAGTCAAAGACAGTGTATTACACACTAGCATAACTAACTACTTGAAATCAAACTAATTTGGCGACTCTAAGTGCCCAAAATTTTGTACACAACTTTAATATTAATACCTTATGATATTAAGCTAGTTAATGTTTTCTTTATTCTTATTTCCAAGAAACAATATTTCTCAATATGTTGGTAAAATATTAGTTTAATAAAATAATGTTTTTGCCAATTAAATACAAATGTTGATTATATTTATTAATAATAAAATTATACAAATAAATAATGTAATATCCCATTTTCACGAACACATTTTTCATTTTTATTTAAGGTAAAACACCATTTTCATAAAACGCAAGTTAAGAAAACTCGTTTGTTCCAAAATACAATTGGTCGAAAATCAAAGTAGTATAATAAATGCGGAATCTCCAATGTTGTTGATGATTGTATATGGTCATGCCTACGCCTTCCCAAGATCGCCAATGGTACCAAAAAAATCATTTAATCCACAACTATAAACCAAAGCTTAGTGAGTTCCCCCAAAATATCATATTTGACAGAATATAGTAATCAATTATGGATTATCAGCAATATTGGGACTATCAGCGGTCCTAAAGATAATAAGCAGTCCAAAATATCACATACAACACAATAGTAAAAATAGATATGGTTTATCAACAAACTTGGGACCATTAACAATCTTATGGACTGTTAGCAGTCGAATGGGTTAATAGCAGCCATATAGGTTATCACCAACCTTGTGGGTTATCAGCAACCCCGCAGACTATCAACAGTCTTGGAGTTATCAACAACTCAATAAGTATACATATCAACAATCAACAAATAAGACTCAGCTAGACTACCATGCACACCACTATAACAGAGGTAATATAGTGAGAAGACTCGCTACCACATACCAGGCCTCATACAGTACTCTATGTCACCACTAGCATACCTCTAACGAATGCATAGTTATATGTAATCAGAGGTGAGATAGACGGTTGAACAGGTGATCCCACTCTAGTGCCACAATCAAATAAGGAACATGCATGAAATCCCATATTAAGAGTTCTTAGGGCTATCCTGCGTGAATGCATAAAACCCCTAGGGCATTGAACTAGATGATTACTGACCACCTACTACTCTAACAAGTATGCCATTACTCCTATATCCTAACATACAAGGATTTATCAGCAACCCCGAGCTATCCGCAACTCACATACAACAAATTGGATTATAATTGGCCTTGAGCTATAATCAGCTCATATACATCATATGATATAGGTAACACAGTGAGGAAACTCACCTAAATCGAACACCCAAGGAACACAATAAAACTCTCACTCCCTGCACTGACTGCACCATAGAACCGATTGGCACCAAACAAAGATAGATCCATAATCAATAACAAGAGTCCTTCAAGATTAATCCCAATGTCAAACTGGTCAAAAGTCAATTGTCAACAGTCAACAAAAGTAAAAATTCACCATGATATGGAGTCCTTTTGTCCATGTCGTGGGCACGTCAGGAGACACCTAACAATCATTTCGCCATATCGCGAGTATGTTGTATAGTTGTACAGTTTCCGCCTCAAGGCCTTCTTGAACAAAATAAAATTCTATTCTTGGACTAGACACCTAACAATCGATCTGTCAAGTATCGTATCAATGGGTTCAATCCCTACCTAGATGACCATTTTCGAAACTATTTCCGATTAGTCTACTAGCGAAAACATGCTCCCCGTCGGAGAAATGACAATTAACCCTATTACGTGAAACTAACTCCTTTACCATAATTCGAAGATTCCAAGGTCGCGCCCTAAAATCTGGTGAGCAATTTCATCCTATAAATCGACCATGCAGACCAAAAATTCACAGATTCGATCTGACCAAGATCCCCCACGGCCTTGCGTCGTCCTACTAACAAACCGAATGATGGAACCCAAGGTCGACCGCCATCACCGATAACCCCACATACAAACTTACTATTGAAATCCTGAATGGAAACCAATCAAACATATACTAAACTATACTATAAACCCACTATTCTCTACAACCATGTTGTGTTATCCAGTACAACTCTTGGGCCTACCCCCAATCCGCAAACTACTAAGGACTATCGTGCTTACCCCTGATCTATCACCCAATAACAACTCTCGGGATTACCCCCGATCTGTCTACCTCTAACGACTCTCGGGCTTACTCTTGATCCATCAAACTAACGACTCTCGGGGCTACTCCTGATCTGCTACCCACTAACGACTCGCATGCTTACTCCCGATCCGTTACCCACTACCAAAGCTACTCAGCCTAACATAGGCACACATCGAACCTGTAAAACTTAAGTATCCTAATCAGGCCCTTGCGTCGTGACTCGGACCCCCAAGTCCCAATCAAACAAGAACATACAAGGAAATTCTTATCACAACCCTCGACCTGATCCTCCTAATATTCTCATACTCTAAACACGACAAAATGTTATGGAACCACCTATGCAACCAATAACTAAAATCATCCAGAAAGGATTCTTCAACTAGAAACAGACTCACCGCAGAACTTTGAAGATTGAACAACCACGCGAAGTCACTAGCTTTGAGCAGTATGGCCAAAGACTGGAACCTGGTCTAAAATTCTCCTGCTACAGAATCTCCACTCTCCCCTACTTGGAATATACAAATTATGTCAATGCACCCACTACGAAAATAAAGCTCAAAATTGAAATCACTAGAGTACTACTCGTTCCCTTCCATAAGAAAGAACCAGAAGTGGAGTAAGATAGTCTTCGAACCATTCAACTCATCCCCAAAACCTTCATCAAACAAGAACAAGTAGAGAGGTCAATTTGAAAGTTTTGAGTCTATGTCACCAAAAATTGTAGTCTACCATGGAACGTAGTATCACTTTCAATGCAAATGCATACACAAGACTACATTCATCCAGAAGGAAACTTCTAGAATAAAAACCCAATACTTAAATACAAAATAAAGTAAATTGGATGCATACATGTAGTCGACATAGTCGCCACTCCTGGATCCTTTACTACAATCTAATGAGATCGTCATTCAACCCTTGGCATCTCAGCCTTCCCCTGATGTCCATCTAGTATCTACCATGCTACAAGTGTAGGGTTCTGCACTTCATCGAAAATGAGAAAGGGACACTAGGCCCTGATGTATCCCACCTGGTCGCAATGAAAATAGACCCATGCATTCTGCCTCCAATCCTTTCCAAAATGTCCCTCTTTGTGCAACCCGTTATTTTCTATATTGTAAAAGTCAAACATGCCAAATAAAAGTCAACGTTATTGTGTTGTTAATTTAAGTAAGTTAAATTAATAATATTAGTATGTATAAACCTTGCATTAAAGGTGTTCTAAGAATTAGAAGTAAAATCATTGAAGCCAAAAAACCTCACAAACCTTCAAATCTTTGGACTGAAAACCTTCAAATCTTTCCTATTTATTCATGGGACCAAAAACATATCGTCACTTCTTCACCTTCCAACAAAAAACACTTCTTTTTCTCCCAAGATCATCAAACCGAGAACCTTGTTTTCTTTCTTATATCATACGAAAATTCACCATTTTCTCCTTAGGATCTTGCTAA